TGTTAGATTGCATCTGTAGTCACATTAATAATGTACCTGTAAAATATGTAATACTAGCATGGCCACATTTTTCCAACTTTCTACCTTATCTCAATGCTGTGTCTCAATCTGACTTCAAGCCAACTTCCTCACCAAGCAGGCAAATTCTGGCAAAATAAGGAAAATGCAATTTGTCTTGACTGGTCCCTCCAGGCTACACAGTCCACTGTAGGTCTGCACAACTGTCCTCATCAGTAAGAAAAGCGTCAACTCCCTGTGTGAGAGGACAGGACAAAAATCTCATTAAAACAGCCAGGGTTCAAGATTTTAAGAGAACACAATGCCAATGCTAAGCACTGTAAATCCCAGAAGCATCTTTAGCTATTTCAATATTTACATTCCTTAGGGCAGGAAACTACAAGATAGAAGTAGAAGAATCTTTGCATATGATTCAGCAAAACAATGTCTCTTTCAGCTTCATTGATCAGAAACAGATGAGAAACTGGTAGCAAACATCTGCACGTAAACCACAGTGACAACTTGCAAAAAAACCCTCAACACTCATCAACAGCTAGCATTCAAAATAAGTTTTATTCTGCTCCTGGCATAGCCAATAGGATGGCAGGTAGCATCACCCATTATTTATTGGGGCATGGAGTGAATCTGAGTGAATCCAAATTCTCAGAGGAATGGGCTCATGAAAATCGGTGTAATTGAGAAGTCATTGAAAAGCAGGTAAAGGCCATTAGGAGCCACACAGAAGATGGAGAATGAAAAGGTGTTATCTGCAGGATGCTGGGTACCTGTTTAGAAACTGTGTCAAGAAAGGGAAAATAGGAGAGGATCTAGAGAAGGAACTTGTAGAGTTGGTGTCTGAATGCGGTCTTTAAAAATGGAGCAGATGCAAGAACAGTAAAAATAAGAATAAAAGACAAAATTTGGGAGAAAGAATTGAAATAATGGCCCCACAGGCCCCACACCCCTAGTATGGTACATATTAGGAAACTAATAGTATCCCCTGAAGATTGGGATAGTGATATCTGGTGTGATCCCAATGACAGTGAACCAGAAGAGGACTATCCCTACAAGCCCTCCTGAATATGAAGCCAGGCCAGTTGTTAGAACAAAAAGAACTAGGGGATCTCGGGGTGGCTATCTGCGACATACTATGAAAACCATCCCCAGGATCCCTTGCAACTGCCAAATTTACCAGAGAAACAGCAGAAATTAAGGTGAAATAAGCTGAAGACTTGTGGCAAGTATGGCTAAGTGGCAGTAACCATATAATGTTGAGCAAGGACAAAGCAAAACAGCTGTTGGGGTCCAGTTTTCTTGAATTTAGGACCTGATCCAACAAATACACCCCATAGCTTCTTGGGCTGGAGGGATAGATGTTATGGAGCAAGGTGAACCCTCCCTAATCCTCATTAAATCTCTAAACAAGCTCTCCACAGCTTCACAAAAGCCATTTGCATACAAGCCACGCATAAACGAAGACCCCACTTACTGCTACGGTAGATTTTTGCAACATTAAAACCACTGATTAGAGGAGTCCCAGCAATTCTTAAACTCTATGTAACTGCAGAATGGAGTGAAATTAAAAGAGACACCAAATACAATAAAGACCAGGACAAAAACATTCCTAAGGCACTCCCTAAATGGGCAGAATTAATGCATGGATTGTTAATTGTAGTCATGAAATAGGCTGGGACAATACACCAGCTGAAAAACACAAACTAAAGCCCTGGAGAGCAGATCACAAAGATCAATCCATGAAACAGGGAACATAAACTAGACTGAAAGTAAACAGGTTTAAAAAACCCATGAACGGAATCTCAAGAGTGGATGAATGAAATACGGAGGAGTGCATTAGCACTAGACATTCCTGGAGTCCTGATTCAAGGTCAGCCTACCAGCATTATCTTGAGTCTAACTGAAGCATTCTAAGAAATGAGGTAACAGTGAAAAGGAAAGTATTTCAACCTCATCCCCCTTCCTCCCTCTTAGGAACAGATTGAGGGTGGCAAGACACTGGAACACGGTGCCCAGAGAAGTTGTGACTGCCCCATCCCTGGCAGTGTTCAAGGCCAGCTTAGACGGGGGTTGGAGCAACCTGGTCTAGTGGAAGGTGTCCCTGCCTGTGGTGGGGGGGTCAGAACTTTATTAAAATTATGGGATGCCACTTATTTTAGCTCCTGTTATGCCTTATTGTTACAATCTAATTATACAATGAGTCATGATTAATTGCCTGCCCCCATGGGATAACTCTTACACTGATGAAGAAACTATTAAAATTTGTATACAAATTGTACATTGTGTACAAGTTGACACAATAACCTGTGTCAACTGCCAGAGTGCATTTGAAACAAGGGACACAAACTCTAATCACCGTTCACAGTGATACAAATTAGGTATCTGTATCTTGGAAGAAGTGAAGAAGGATGCAGACCACCACTGATGGGAAACTCCTCTTGAATGGTCACTGACAGCAACAGGAATTTTTAATTTCATACTTCACCCAGTTGTGATTTTGTTAACTCTAACTTTAGTATGTCTAAATACTTACATTGCATATAAAGGTTTGGTATAAGATAAAACAAATAATCCAACTATAAGCACCCTAAACATACAAATTTAACATGTAACAAATAGTAGTGCTTCACTATCTACTTACCATGAATCTGTAAGTGCCTAAATTATCCATATTCTATTTTGGCACAGAGGCAAGAGGTGACTGCACCATCATTCTGTGAGGGCAAGACAAATTGACTATAGTCACAGAGTCACAGGGTGGAGCGTGGTGCTGTGCTTCTCCCCGCTTTCCCAACCTGACCTTTATTTCCCAACTCTGCTCAAGTGATAATCATCAGTGGTGGTGGTAATGGATAGGTCTGGGTCATCATAAAGGCATCTGACTCAATTCTTGGGAGATGGGTAACACCACAACAGCCAAAGGCCTAATCTGAACAATGTGCACACACCCCACCCCAAATATAATTCTGTCAAGGTCCAACTCAAGCCAAGTTTCTGCAGTAGATATGCAAAGATGACCAGCAGTCAATTGTCTTACTCCATAAATAGTGGGCAGCCCAGAGCCCATTGAGCTCTCCTGCACAGCAGCAGGCTGCAAACCAGCAGGGCCACCTCTCAAAAATTCTCCTCGAGGTTGAAAGATTCCTTGCTGCAACACATCCTCAGTAAGTGATTACTAGTGTGCTAACCTCTGCAATCTTAGCTACATGATATAAAGGATTGATTGCACATATATAATCCTTCAGATATAAACCACTGACCAAGTCTGAGACTAAGTCTGAATCTAGCCACACCCTGACTCTCATCTGGAAGGAGTTTAGAAAGCAAGGGGGTCCTTTCTGAACCTCATGACTCAACAGAAGGGTCTCCCTGACAGTTTTGTCTGACCCTGCCCTAAAGGGTAGTTTACTTGATTGCAGTAAATAATCAAGTGCACATTGCCATTGAATCTTGTTAAATCACTGTTGCATTTACTAAAAAAACTTTAAGTCAATGGTTTATATCACTAAACATTTTGCTATTTCTCTCTTATGAGTCAAGCGCATCACTCCTCCATCCACAACAGCTCCCAAGTTAAGCAAACTCTGTATATGATCTGAATAGTGGGAATCATCTGTGTTTATTTCCTGTTCCAGAGAAATAGATGCATCAGTGGCTGTTTTCACAGCATTTTATAAAAAACAAAACAAAAAACAAAAAAACCCCACACAAACACAAAAAAAAAAAAAAAACCAAACCCTAACACCCCCTCCCCAAAAAAAAACTCATCCAAAAAAATGCAAACCAAAAACCACCCACTAAAACCAAACCCATTTATGCATTCTTTTGTCAAGTAAGCTCTTCCCACTCACATCCTCCAGCAAAAAATCCATAAAAAACTGTTTAATCATGATTAGCTTTGCAGGTACAGGCTTCCCTAAGATACATTAATACTGTGAGTGAACCTACTCCATTTAAAAAACAAATGGAAATTCAGTAATATTCTACAGGGGGGAAAATGACTTTAAAATAGTTTTCTACTCATACACATTTGTCTAACATGAAGGACTTCTAAGGTTAAAAAGAACCCCACTTATAACAGTTGAAAGAGTATATTGTCATAGAAAAATTAAAACAAGAAAAAAAATCACTAATACCCAAGGCATATTAATAAAGAGAGCTTTAGAAAGCAGTAAAACCCACCTATTAAAATGTTAGATCTAGCAACCTATCAGGTCTCTTGCTTCCCACAACAGCCTCACTTTATGGGCCACAATATGGGGAAAAAAAAAAAAAAAAAAGTGTCTGTATGCTAAGCCAGTCCAAAGCCTCCTACCTTGCTGTTAGCTCTGGTATCTCCCAAGTACTACTAAGCACTAGGCATCCCTCACCTTTAACCATATCCTGTTCTCAATGGCAAATCATTGCATACAAAACCATCTTAACCACTACAGAGGTAGGTTTTTGTGTAACAAGATTCTGACCAGCAAACATCTCATAAAAAGCTAAGCAGCTTCCCCACAGAAATACACCTTCCTCCACATAAACACACTCCTCTAATTAGGGCGAATGCAGCACACAACAAGCGTGATAGAAAGCTAGCGCCACCAGAATTAAAGCCAGAACCCCACGGTGCTGTTCTAACATCAAAATCCAAAGCCTGAAGAGCTGCACAGGGAATACTGTCTCTGTTTCAGGTAGATCGACAATGGCTTTGGCTGATAGTGTCAAAAGAAGAAACTTTCATGGAGCTATTTACAGCGACTTATGTAGGAAGCAATTCTAAGTCCTGCACTGCCAGGTATCATTGCTTTATCACACCACCCACAGAGCTCAGCCGAGAGGTCAGACTGGGCAAGGCCACCAGAGGCCATTGCCAATTGCAGCTTCTTGTTCAGTTCTCATCTACACTGAGACTGCTGTATGGTTGCTCATTGATATTCTCTTTTAAAAGTAAAGTTTAATATATGTTATTATTTTTCGTCCTTTTCCAAAGTCAGACAGGCTTTTCACAGTAGCATCTTGACAACACTTGGTGAAGGATGGCTCATTGTTCCTGGCATATTCGGAGGTCGTGTTCCAAACTCCAGGCGTTTCACTAACCTGCAAATACAAAAGAGAAGTCAGTGCATTTCTAGCTCAGTATCATCATCTTCAGATAACTGGTCACTTCCAGAGCACACCCCTTAGCTTGAGAAATCAACAGATAAATGAATATAACTCTGAGCGCTAAGCCGTTACTTAAATGGGCCGAGCTTCCACTGTAACACAAGGCTCTGGTTCCTCCAAGAGAAAGTATCTTTTACAGGTGTTGGAATTTCAGTTCTAGCATTACAGTGGTAGCTCTATAATCAGCTGCAATAATAGGTAAATGTTCAACACTCGAGGCTTTCCTATAAAGAGCTTTTATGAGGTTCCTCCCCAGGCCGAGATAGCAAGTACCATGTGGAACACTTCTTTCATACAGCAACTTTGGGTACTGGGTGACAGGACAAACCAGTATTCCCAGTGCAAGGGTCTAGCTGAATAATTGAGCCTGGAACAAACTGTACTACAGACACTTAATTTACAGAGAATCTAAAGAATGTGCAGTACAAGACCAGCAGAGTTTAAGCAGGCACTGAACTGCAATTTACAATATCGTTGCTGATTTTTCTTCATTTGCTTAAAAAAAAAAACCCACCGGTCCAAGTGTTCACACAAATATGAAAGTTGAGTCAGGTAAGTTCCTGTCAGGTTCTCCTTGGAAACACATCCTAGCAACAGTAAAGCATTCTCATTGAATGAACCCATTATTTGCCTTGTTTTCCAGTTCTCTCATAAATGAGAATCTTAACTGTGATAAGGGAAGTTCCTACATGCCATAATGTTTCTACGCTATCATGTGCACAAGAATATAAAGCATAAAATAAATTAAGCCAATAAGCAAGAGCTCCTCCATTGTACTTCATCCCAATTAACAATGGGCTTATAATAAAATACATGTATCACACTTGCTGTGATTTTTGGTTTCCAAAACTTGATTCCAATTAGTCTTCCAATTTCAGCAGCTAGTGATTTCAAATTTTAAGCTGATTCAATTCATAATCCTAAATAACTAAAACAAAATGTTGAAAAGAAATCTGTCCCTACCATAACAAAGATTTAATACAAAACAAAACAGTACCAGTCACTAAGTTTTAACAGCAACACTTCTCAGTAAGACACCACAGCAGAGAACAGCACTCACCCTGTATCACACAGGGGCTGATGAGGACTCAGGCGTGTTTCAAGGACATCTCTATTCATACACATCGACACTGTGGTTCTGTTTGGAGACTGGTCATACACAAAGTTTCGGCAAGACGCAAGTTTGGACTCCAAAGCCTAATGTAAACACAGATGAGTCAAGTCTCAGATATCACCCTTGTCTTTCACAAGATGACATTGTGCCACGCCAAAATGGCATTCAGAGTGTTTGGGGTTTTTGTGGGTTTGGTTTTGTTTCTTTCTTTTAGAATGAGTTGTCTAGTAGAAGAACCTGCTAGACTCTAGTGCTATATGAGGGCTGAATTTTTGAAGAGATGAAGCTAGTCATCTCTCTAAAGCTGAATCTGTTTCTGTAGGGGAGGTTAAGGAGTTGACACTGTTCACCAGCATGAACACAAATTCTTCAGCTTCTTCAGGGAGAGTCTGACATCTTTCTTAGAGGCACCACTTTTAGATTACTAAATGCTTGAGGTATCTGCTTTCCTGGACACATTAGGCTGTACGTACTAGGTGGTACACCACAAAGAACTGAGCCACATATTAACCTATTCTGCATGACACGCTCCCACCCTAGATGACTCCATCCTTGTTGCTGGGTTACTCTTCAGCTGTATCAGTTCGGCAGCTCAGCTCATCAAAAAGTCATACAAATGCTTGTGCCAACACAGCACTGGGGCATAAGGGAGAAAATAGAAAGAAGGCAATGGATATGTTTTCCAGCATCAGCACTAGCTTAAATGTCAAACTACAGCTTAACAAGACATTAGGGCTTGCTCAAAGGATTACAAGACTTTTAAGGAAAACTTCACCAGAAGCCCTCTGGACAGCAGGCACCATCCTATTTTCTTTTCTACTTTTCATGGGAAAGGAGCCTTTCTATTTGCTCATGATGATCTATTGTTTCTGCACATGTGCTTTCAGAAATTTGTAGAGGAAGATCTCATCCGTATGAGGATAAGACCTTAGAAAAACAGAGCAGGGTCCATCTTTAGGTGGGGTTTAGTCAGAAACGTACGAAGTCCAAACCAAATTTCAAAGCCACACTTAGCTAACAGTGGGACAAGATACTCTTTCCAGTCCCCCCAAGCAGCAGCACAGATAGTGCTGGCTGCAGTTTCAGACAGCTCTACCTTCCCAAGAGCATTGGCTAGCAGGCAAGCACTCACCCCCACTTTTCGTAGCAAGTCCCCCACAATGTTAAGTGCAGATATTCTTGCAGCAGGTGTGAGAGGGGTTGCACCAAAACTGTCCTCGAGACCTGCAGGGCAGGTTAAAGGAGGATTTAAAAAAAGAAAACCGAACAAACCAAAAAAACCCCAACACACACACCACCACAAAAACAAACAAACAAAACCAACAACAACAACAAACCAAACACAAACCCAAAACAAACCACCAACAAAAAACAAACCAAACAAAAAACCCTAAACCTTTGAAACTGGAAGTCAGAAGACACCCTGACATACAGAGCAGAGAACATAATTATCTTCATTTTTTTGTATCTCACCTCTAGATCTTTCCTATCCATTACGAATATGAAGCACTGTCTCCCTGAGCTCAAGTTACACTGTCCTCAGCTAAAGTCTCTAGATATGCTGTGGCTTAGGTTTCTAGAGATCTGTTCTACCAGCCTACTTTGCATCTTTGTTTCTGCAGTGGGACGAGAGGGATGTGTCCTCAGAGAGGAAAATCATCTCTCATTTTACTATAAATCTCAAAATCCTCTCACTTTTACAGAAGCATTAATTCTTCCACACAAGCCACAATTTTAGGTTAAGCATACTGAAGCCCACAATTAAGCTTTGTTAGTGTTCAAAGCTATATCATCAAATCATCAGAATGTGACAGTGCAACTCCCTGCATTTACACATACATATGATTTCTAGCTTTTTAAGTAAAAAGATTGTGGGAGAGTTAGTGTTAAAGGTTTGACATATTGAAACAATCAGTGCTTACAAAAAATAAGCAACTGATATTGACATGAAACCAGACAATCATTTAGTACAGACAGCCAGGATGACTTGTTAGTGTCCTGCTGCTCCAGAATAAAAAGAAAGCCTCTCCCAAGAGAGCATCTACTCTCACAGAGAAGCCAATTCAAGTAACACAAGCATGACATTAAAGACCACACAAGTTTTTAAAATCTTTCCCCAAAGTTAGCCCAACATCTCTGGGACAGTTGTAAACTAATAGTTAAGTCCCAACAGGTCAGCTTGTCCTTCACAGTTATTATTACTGGACAGTTCAAGTCACATGGAAATGAACAGCCTATGAATAAACCTCAAAAATCACAGTCTATGAAAGTAAGATCATGGTGACTGCACAGAGGTGTGTTTTACTGAAACATTCAACTCTGTTCATTCCCCCTTCTCACTCCTCCTTTAGCAAAAAACTATAGTAAAAACCAAAAGCAGTAATTCTGTGCTGGTTCCCTATCAGTCACCTCTCCTAAATGTCATAGGAGTGGGTATGTTGATGCTGGGTGCCCGGTGCACCGAGGGAGTTGAAGGCACAGATAAGGATGCTTGAACTGCAGTGTCCGTTCTTTCAGTTTCCAGGGCAGTTTGCATCGGGGTTTTGGGCTTCTCCTGTTTCTGCTGCACTGCAAGCTCTTGACGTAGATCTACAAAGGAAGCAACGCAAAGCAAGCTTTTGGAGTATGTATCCACCAAGATAAGAACAGGTGAGAACATTTTGCTCAAAAGATTATTCCCCTTGTTGAGGTGAAGTCTCTTATCCCTGTAAAGATTACTCCAGGCCTATGTTCAAAATCCACATGATCACTAAAGGTTTTTCTGGGATTGTGGCTAAAGATGTTTTTGTAGCAAACATCTGAGGCAGGGAATCAACTCCTTTCCAAATGTTACAGGGTGCCAAGCAGAGGCACATCAAGACTGAGGCTAGGCAACCTGACACACCTTGGCTACATTCCAGCTCTCTGCCAGGTTGAGATCCTGCCTATTGTATCCTTTTCTCTTCTGCTCTGGTTTCCACATGAAGAAAATCTGAGCTGAGGCCAGATGGAAACCACACCATTATCACTTCTGTTCCAAAGCCTGGCTATAGCTCACAGAAGCCACTCAACGGCACAGAATCTGAGCAGATCTGATAACAGAAGGTGCTCTTCCAGCTCCATGGTCTCTCTATTCTCAGCCAGCCTTAGTCATCAATATCAAGAAGCTAGCACACAAGGCTATTTAAAGGTAACTAGAAGTCAGTCACGGCCCTCCTGTTTTACTGCCCCATTAGTGTGTCATTAATTCCACTTCTCACAGGCCAGGAAACAATGAGGTTAATGGTTATTAAAGCTGACCGTCATAGGTTACAGGAAGCCAGACCAGCACATGCCCCAGCTGGACTGGCTCTTCTTAACCCCGCCCCCCCAGCCCTGAAGCATCACCACAGATTAGGAGAAGGCTGGAAAAGACTTTTGCTTCTCCGAGCTGCTCT